AAATCTTTGAAAATTCTTATCTATTTTCATTTTTGAATCTCTGAGAAAACTGCTAATATATCAAAAGCAGTTAGAGAATCTGACAATCTATAAAAATCAGACTGAAATATGATGACTTTGATTGATAGAAATATGAAGTTAAGGAATTTTATATTAAAAAATTAATTTTCTTGTGACAATTGATAAGAATTCAGATTAAATATATCAAAAGATTACTAGTTTTATAAATGAGATAAAAAACACTCTAGAAAGGATAAAAGTAAAATAATATGAGTAAAAAGGACAAATAAGTAAACTTAACCAGCAAGTAAATAGCTTGAAAAAGAAATAAAATATATTATAGTAAACTGTGAACTCTTTAATCTCTCAAATCAAACTAATAAATATTTAATAAATATAATGATTAGTTAAACTCAATAATTCTAAGTATTTTATCAATAAGAAAGATCTGATATTTGAAAACTGACTTTTCTGAATGAAATACAAGTTAGCTATCAATGCAGATCACTTTTTAATTGAAAAAAATTATATTGTTTGTATTAAAAACTAAATTAATAATAAAGCTATTAGATATTTAGTTTCAAGAATAAAAAAAATCATTCTGAGAAGTTTAAAACAGCCGAAAAAGTATTTAAATATCTATAAAAAATATATAAAAATGTTAATAAGCTTGAAAATACAAGGATGAAATATTAATAACTAATAATGAGAAATGAAGACAACTACTATATATTTATAATTAAGTTTTTATATCTATTGAGTAAAGCTTAAATTCATAAGAAAGATTATAAAGCAGACTTTCTTTATAATATTTTCTTTGATCTGCAATATATAATTACAATAATCTGCATCAATTGTAGCATCTTTTATAAAATTTAAAAGATATGTGTCAAGACAGCTCATTATATTAAAAACATGTTTAGTCAAAACAACTGATGATTACTCAACTGTAAAGAAACTTCTACAATTCAAAACAATTATAAAAGAACTTTCTCAACTCAAAATCACAAATTAACATCAATCATATCAATATAAATAACTAAAAATAGACTAAAAAATAAAAATTAAAAAAAAATATAAAATGCTTCAATTATTAAAGCAAAAATCATATAGTGTAAAATTAGTTACACAAGCAAAATTGAATAAAATAAATACTAAAACTATTATTATTAAGTTGAAAAAAGATTAAATCTGAGAGAAATCCCTTTCTCAGATAAAATAATTATATTAAAAACTTTAAATATAAATCTGTTAATAAGTGAAAATTCTTTTACTATATATATCAAAGTAACTTTTAATAAATATATTATTTTTACAAGAGTACTAATGAATTCTGAAGTAAATTATTATATTTTTACCAATATAAGCTTTGTATAAAGGTGTGTTAAAGTTTTAAATATAAACTCTGAAAAGTTGATAAAAGATTATCAGATAATATAATTTAATAATCAGAGAGGAACTTCAATCACAAAAGTCATCTCTCTACATTTATGAGTAAATAAATGAAGATTTTTTAATACATCAATACTAATAATAGATCTGAAAAGCATCAATATAATTCTAAAGTAGTTATAACTGATAAAGTAAAAAATATAACTTAATATGAAAAATTAACATCTAGTTGAATCAAACATGTGAATAACTGAGAATAAAATATCAGAAGAATACAATGTAATAATTTCAAAAAAGATTTTAAAAAGATCAGTAGTAAAGTCAGAGTATCAATAAAATATAAATTACTGAAATAGATTTATTTATAAGAAATTCAAATAAGAAATTATTGAAAAATCTATGAGAGCTTAATGAAAAAATAAATTAAATAAGCAACAAAGAATGATATTTATTAAGAGTATAATCTTTTATTATCATAAGAGAAGTAAGAAGTTAAAGGTCTTT